AAGGTGTGTCGCATTAATAACAAGTTATAAGTTAAGGCTGTATGATTTCCGTGAAGCAGAGGGAATCCCGGTGCAGTCGTGAACATGGAATTTACAGTATAACGAGGATGTCACGTAAAACGCGCAATCGGATGGATGGATAAATCGAAAGTAGTTATGATATGTTTGTGAATATTAAAGCGCAAAGAGACTGCTATATGAATAATCTGCTTGTTTCTGCATGTCTCTGAGTGGCGCCGTTTTATCTACTGCATACTGAAGTGTGCATACATAAATGGTGTTTTCAGTGTTTAAGATACATAAACATGAACATCAGCAGAGCTGCTCTGAGAGAAAACATAAATAAACATTTCCTAGTTTTATTTGAGAAAAACCATTGTCAAATACACTCTGAAACTCAAAGGTCCGCTACAACCCGTCAAAATAAAGTTTGGTTTAAATGATTGAAATGATGACAGAAATATATTAGCATTGTACAATGTACTTCAAAGTTATAATAACAACAATAATAATATTCTTTATAATAAAATTATTTATTTAAACATTGTTTTCTAGGAATATCATGTTTGTCCATGTTTTAACTTGGCCAAAAATAAAAGGAGTTATAAATGTTCATTTAAAAACATTTTAAAACATTAATTAAAATGTTAAAGTGTGATATAGATATACATAAGGTGTACAGCGCTATTTTTTATTGTTTTTTATTTATTTATTTATTTTCAGAAGGGAGACTTCAATACTTTCATTAAAATGGTTTCAAGTTTGTTGTAATAAAGGATTTGTTCACTCAAATAACTTGTTCTTGTTCTTTTAAGAGTCATTGTTACTGATAAGAATTATTGTTTAATATATACCGTGATAACCGTGAAACAGTGATATTTTCTGAGACGATTATCATACCGTGAAAATCTCATACCGTTACAACCCTAGTACTGTGTATATTTACATGTATAAATGAATACACACACATACATGTGTATATTTAAGAAATATATGTAGTATGTATTTATATTTATATCTAATATAAATCATATATATATATATATATATATATATATATATATATATATACACACACACACACACATACAT